AAAAAAAAAAAAAAGAGAAATAAAAAAGAAACAATTTGTCTAAATTTGTTGGGTCTATGGTCTTTGACAAGAGCCTTATTATTGGTATAAAGGGCGAACAAAGAGGTATGACAGTTGATGTAAAAAAAGTGGTAAATGGAAGGAGAATTGTAACATAAATGTACCGTCGATAAATCAGTAAAATTTTATTCAGAGGAACTGTGAAATTGAACTGGGTAACTGTGTTCACTTAAATACTTTATTTGGAACATTTTGAGAAAATCAGCATTAATTGTCGATGTGCAAAAAAAAAAAATGATGTCAAAATTTTTGCTTTTTTTTTTTAAAAATTTTACTTGAATCGACGTGATTTTGTACCTTTTTCAAGCTTTTTCTAAGCAGCCTTTTTTTAAACATCTATTAACTGGTAGCAAATTTACACAGTATAATAACCATTTCAAAGACTAATCTCAAAGTAGTTTAGTGCAAAGTTTTTATCAATAAAAAAATTTGCAACGGCGTTCCTCTCTGTTTATTTTTAACTCAAATATTATTGTATCAAATTTTATAGATCGACAGCAATTTATGGTTTTCGGGTCTTAAAACTGTTAAATTTGAAACCTATACTGCGAGAGAATTTCAGAAATGCAGAAAGTACTGAAGAAAGCTAAAAGAAAAATATTTTTAAAACATTTTTAAAAAAATTTTTTTTGTCAAAAAAGCTGTAATGTTTATAAAATATTTGTGTGTAACTTTAGCTATCTTTTTTTAACAGAGGAAACTTATCTGTGAAAATCTAATAAAAAAAAATAAAAGAAAAGGGCATAAACAAAAATGAAATAGTGACGAAAATAGCAACTGTCATAAATAAGTTTTCTATTTTTGAAAAAACTTCAAATAAAAATTTTCCTCATTTTTAAAATAGTTTAGTTTCATTACTGTTTCAGCAAAGAGGTCTCTTCACAGATGACTAATAAAAATGAAAAAAAAAAAGCGAGGAAGCAAGGATAAACTATTGAAAAAAAAAACAAAAGTAAGGGAATAAGAGTAATAAGAAAAGCCAAAAATAAATTTCTGTTTTTGAAAAAAATCCAAGATAGATTTTCTTGTTCCTTAATTAGTCGTCTTTTGCTCCAGTGCCAATTTTCCCCAAAAAATAAAGGTTGTTAAGATACACGTGAGAAAAAAGAAGATGAAAAAAAGAAAAGAGAATAGTTGCATCTAAAACTACTGATAAATTGTTGAGCGGGTAGTTCTTTGTCATATCCAAACTTAATTTATGTTTTCACCAACTTCCTAAGAGTCGAAGACCGAGATGACAGTCCTGTCAATCCAAATGCCATCATTATTCTTTGGTATCAAAAAATTCATCCGCAATCCACTGTGTGCAGCTGGCTGTAAAGATGAGTTGACAGAGGTTCTGCTGTTATTTTAACGACAAAAGTCAAAAAAGTAGATCAAAATTTCTCCAGTTATTCAACCGGCCATATTCAGCTGCCGTTCTGTTTCTGTGGTATAGATGTTTGATTTGGTTTATTCATTTTGCCGCAGCTTGAGACACAGTATCGGTACGAACAAGATGAAATTCAAAGAAGAAAATTTTAAAGAATGGACTTTGAAGTTTGACAGCAAAAAGTGGCGACGAATAATTTCGTCTCAGACGGTTTTGGTGGATACTTGGCTACACTAATCGGAGTCACAAGTATCTCAGCAAATTGCCCCAGAGATGAAGCTGTGTCGCACTGGCAGAATGCCAGTATGGCTTTAGTCCTGATAATTTACTGACTGCAGACGGAGGTGAACAAATTGAAAAGCAGAAAAAAAAAAAGTTGAGCTCTGATCAGGAACGCTTTTTATTTCTTCATTTGTGTATGCACTTCGTGCATATTATTGCCATTTTCCAAACGCTTTTTTGAAGACAAAATAATGGGAAAAAGGATGGAAGAAATGTGAAGAAAAAAATGTGTAAATTAAGCAGTACAAAAAGGATAAACTTATGTTGCTGGTGAATGCAGAAATTGCTCTAGCTATCCTTTTTTCGGTTTCTTTTCTTTTTCGGTTTCTTTCTATTTTTGCAGTTGTTGCTAACAGAACGTCTTTATCATCTTTATTAAAGACCAAATAAGACAAAAAGTCTCTTCAGACACCTTACACTAGACAACTAACAAAAAAAGTATTGTAACAGTGTTCTAAGCTTGGCATCTTTAAACTTAGAGTGTGAAAAAACTTTCAA